TAAATAAGAGGTTGTTTAGGTAACTGCCAACTAAACGGTGAACTGCGCTAATAGCGGCCGGGAGAATTTATAAGGAAACGAGATGAGAATGAATATTCATAAGATATGCAAAACAAAACACATCTCTCTCTACTGCCATTCTAGGCACTTTTAACAGGATCTTTGTCTATCGAGGATAGTCAAACGGCACTTGCTACAATGCGACTGACTCGTAACACATTACTTCCCCCTTCAATATGAAAGGAACAAAGACATTCTTTGTTATTATCCGTACGTGTTGAATTAAGCACAATACAATGATGACAAAGAAAACATGTTATCCCAAACACCAACTCCACGCTAGCATCATCCAAACACGAAAATCGCAAACTGGCCATGATCCATGATCGGTCTCCCGTCACAGGCTCCAGCCTGCAATGGTGCGTACAAGTACAGTGTCGCTCGAGCTGGTAAAGAGGTGGGGGATGCTGCCTTGGGTAGTAGTCGAGCCCGCCCCCAAACCTATATTTACTCTACTTCAGATTCATAATACACCCAGCTGCATCCAGCCGAGACGGGCCTAGATGTGACGATAACCGGTGGGACCACCACCTCGGGCAGGTGAGGCCATGCGCGTAGGCTGGGGCACCGAGAGATACGGGGCAAACGCAGGGTGTTGGTCGAGCCCGACGCCCCCGGGAGTAGAGCTTCTCCTCTCGCTCTGCACGCTCGCCTCCCACGCCTTCCAATCTTCTTTCAACCCGGTCATCTCGCTCTCGTCTCCCAATGGATGTGCTAGTTGATATCCTCCGGTAGACACAGAGGAGACCTGAGAGACGGGGTCGCTAGCCGTCAATGATGTCCGACTAGCCAAGGACTTCCGTATCATCATGTCGCGCTCTACGTCCTCGGCAGACTGGCGGTCGACTGTGCCAGGTCTGCGCCGCTTCTGCGGGTAAGGCGACTTCATTTCTTCCATGGGCTGGAATCCATCTCTCCGTCCCCGTCGTGACTTGATGTAGTGTGCGCACATGAAGATGGCAAGGGTCGCGACGATGAGACTGCCGACGACTATGACGACGACCATCCAAGGGTCGACCGAGGCGGGCGCGAGGCTCTCGCTTGTAGTTTGGCCCGTCTTGGGCGTAGACCCGACGGGTAATGGGTGACGTGCGTCTTCATCGCGCCGAAAATAGAGGAGACGGCCCATCGCGGGGTCTAGTCTACATTCAATTGCTAAGAATGAAGTTGATGAGAGATGGACATCGCGGCGTGAGGGATAGACGGCTATTGAGCGTGGAAGATGCAGGCTATATGAATACAGAGATGATTCATGGTTACTCAATGATTCGCGAAAGGGCAGTCAATGTGCCCTTCCACTACCTCGCCCTTCTGTCGCTGCGCAAATAGTCCGCAATAGTTGCACATAGAACGAACTTGAGAAACGTCACTATGCACGTTGGGTAACATGTCATGGCTTAGTGCTATTCTTGGACCAACCACACCCTGTATCTATTTGTCGGGTTCAGGTGGGAGTGGCTGTGGGGGACGAAAAACAAGGCATTGTCGGCATTGGGGAACCGACCATACCATTGAGCTGGTTCCCTTTCTACGAGGCTCGAAGGGCTTATAAGGGCATCTGCACGCCACCCAGGAGAGGTCTGACCTCTAACTCTGGCGGGTCTCTTGTTCCCGTTCTAGCTCCATATTCCCTACATTATGGTCGAGGGTGGCGGTGCGCGAACGGTCATTGGTGAAATTCATGCTCATTGCCTGCACTATCACCTGCACTGGCATGTAGGTGTCAGCATAAGGGAAAATGCAGATGTACGAAGCGAGCAGAAGGGACCACTTAAAGTTTCGTGATGACCCGTTACGGGCTACGTACCAATGCGACTTGAATAATACATATCGTCCCTTTTTATCCCTTCTGCTATGACACATGAAGCGCATGTCAGGTGGTATTTCTATAGTCGGCTCATCAGTTCTACGATGTACAAATAGCAACGTCTTTATTAGGTAGTATTGGACAATACAAGAGACATTAACTTAAGTCTGTTATGAATACACTTATCAATGAGCAATTGGCCATCCCTTCTTGGGTAGTGTTCTCGAAGTTGACGCGGGGAGAATTCTATATTTATCCCCCGGATAGCAACTCACCTGTCCGGTCCGGTCCGCCAAGTGCTGTGTAATTGTTTAATGTGGACTAAAACAAGCCCTCTCTCGCCACGATAAGGTAACTATGCCAGCTAATAAGATGTTTAATATTTTACCCCAACCCAACAGTGGCATTGTTAACAATTAAGCCTTGGGTTACTTATGCCATCATGCTGGCCGGAATAATGGCCGTATGAGCGGAATTACGTAGTCTGCCCAATCTAGATCGTATCGATAGTACGTCAACTCTTTTTCATTCATTCATGCATTTATTGATATCGCCGAGGTTGACAGTGATCCTATTTGATCTTAGCCTCAACACCTATTTATTGCGGGCGACTGGCATAAGTATGAAATACGGACGTCTAAAGCATAAAAGCAACTCCGCCACTAAGTAGTAGTAAGCTTGGCTCCCAGGCTTGAATAACGCCCGCGAAAACAAAATTCCCACAAGAATACTCGTAGGCGCATTGGGATTTTCAAAAAGATTCGAAGATGCACGAAATTGTAGAACATTGTCCCGGAAATATACACCCGTTGGCAGCTCCGGTCCGGTAGTTTGTGGAGTTGGTTGAATTGTGAATTACCAGACTAAGCAGTTTAGACAGGGGCCGAGGTACAAACCTAGCGTCACCTTCTTATGCATAACTGAAAGCCCTCTCAACAACAGCCAACGGTAAGACGCTATACCTAATACCACTGTATGCAAGGATCGAAGTCGCCGCGTGTGTAGTGAATATCAGTCCGTTCAGAGATTTTCAAAGCGCACAAGCGTGCAGTGCGGGTTGGTGTAGCCATGTTACCCATAAGCCGGTCCCTTTACCGAGTCGGCCAGGGGGCCCGACTTTCGGCGAGGAGGACCAACATCCTCATCCGCCGTCAGTCGTCCGTCGCACAGACGGGGTCGACTGCTGACGCGACGCTCCCGTTGTCTGGGTATCGAGTCCTCGACATGACGAGGGTTCTCGCTGGCGTAGGCCGACCCCGCTATTTAATAGACGAGTGAGAGCCGAGCTGATGTTTCCAAACAGCCTTATTGTACCCAGATCTTAGGTGACCTAGGGTATGTGCAGCATTACATTACTCATTGCTCGATACATGCTGACGGTCATTGACTGCAAGTGCAGAGGTTATCAAGATTGAGCATCCTACGCGTGGCGATGACACTCGTGCCTGGGGGCCACCCTACGCCGCGTACCGAGAAGGATCAGATCACGAGGGTCCCGGCGAGTCTGCATATTTCCTTGGAGTACGTATACAGATAATCACGGACATTTATAAATGCGCATACGAAACTAATAGACGAATAGGTCAATCGCAATAAGAAGTCTCTCGGCCTCTCATTCCAGCATCCAGAAGGCGTTGAGATCCTGCACAAGCTCGCAGCAAAATGCGACATTCTCGTGGAGAACTATCTCCCTGGGAGTCTGAAGAAGTACAGCATGGACTTCGAGACGATCCACAAGATCAACCCGTCTCTGATCTACGCGTCCATCACGGGGTACGGGCAGACGGGTCCCTATTCGCAGCGCGCCGGGTACGACGTCATGGTAGAGGCGGAGTTCGGCCTGATGCATATCACGGGGAGCCGCGACGGACCCCCGGTTAAAGTCGGCGTCGCCGTGACGGATCTGACGACCGGCTTGTACACAAGCAACAGCATCATGGCGGCGCTGCTCGCGCGCGCGAGGACGGGGCGCGGACAGCACATCGACGTCGCGCTGAGCGACTGCCAGACCGCGACGCTCGCCAACATTGCCAGCAGCTGTCTAATCAGCGGCAAGCGAGACACGGGGCGTTGGGGGACAGCACACCGTAAGTCTCACATTACACATTACACGTTTCAATCTTAATCTCTATCACCAACCTACCCAAACTAAAACCCAACTAAACAATCACGCGTAGCATCCATCGTACCCTACAAGTCCTTCAAGACGAAAGACGGCGACGTGCTCTTCGGAGGCGGCAACGACCGGCTCTTCGGGATCCTCTGCGACGGCCTCGAACGGCCCGACTGGAAGACAAATCCAAAATACAGCGTGAACTCGCAGCGCGTGGCGCACCGCGACGAGCTCGAGGCCGAGATCGAGAAGATCAGCGTCACGAAGACGACGCGCGAGTGGCTCGACGTCTTCGAGGGCAAGGGCATGCCGTACGCGGCCGTCAACGACGTCCACGACACGCTGCACCACGAGCACACGCGGGCGCGCGACATGGTGGTCGAGCTGGAACATGGCGAATGCGGGACCATCCGCGTCGTGAATACCCCTGTTAAATATAGTCACAGCACACCTGGTGTGCGGACGGCGCCGCCGACGCTGGGACAGCATACGGATGAGGTCTTGGGGGATCTGCTTGGGCTTGGTGGGGATGCTATTTCTGCGCTTAAGGATTCCGGCGCCGTTAGGTAGCGTGAAATTTTTTGGCGAATAGATAGATATTAACTGCTCTGCTCGAAGAATGTAGGGATATATAAGTATGTATGTAGTTGGCTCTGTTATCGTACTATATATAATAGCTCAGACGAGATCAAGAGCGCGAATACATTCATTCTATTCTGCTTGAGTAGTTTTCCCAGTCTGCCTCCGGTATAGTCTCGCGAATTATAGTCGTATATGGGGACTCAAAGCATTGTATGCATGCGTATGGGCGAAATATATTAAGTCAATCAGTCCTGTTAAAAGTATTGGCACCGCAATATTGCTCCTGGCTATCGTACGTCGATAACTCTACCAAGGGCGCATGGCTTAGCATTTCTTCATGCTGTCCACCCCGTAACGCCGCATTATATCCGTTTAGAGCTGGATGTCTGTCTGAAGTAAAAATAAAACTAGCAAAATTGAAACGGATACGGTATAAGAAACCCGACGTGGGACTCGAACCCACAACCTTGTGATTAGAAGTCACATGCGCTAACCATTGCGCCAGCCGGGCCATTGAAGAGCCAGGAGAATGCTTGCTGAATTCCTGCATGGAAATTTTGTGTTAACCATATTCATAAACTAGACATGTCTTGGTCGCGACCCTGCATGTGTGCCTTGTATGCCTTGTCTGTCTAGCCGCCTCACCGTCGGTCTCCGAAAAAGGCCTCTCACACAACCCCTGACGTGGCTGTGTGCCTAATATTGGAACATTGTTCCTGACAAGTTCCCAAGTGCACCCATCAAACTGACCTTTCTTAATATCCAATGCTTGAGCTGTTAAGTGTTAATCAAAGTTATTGGCATTTCCACTTTCTCCTACAAAGAGAGAAACGACTTTCATCCCCTTTTCTAAACTTCAACCTTCCTCCGTGCTACTAATTGTGTTAATCCAAGTCCAATTGGCAACTTGCGGCTGAGGTGGAATCACGGGCTGAGCGCCGATAGAGGAGGGGTAATAATTGGCGGCAGGGATGGGAAACAGTCACTAGGTGAGGCACACCACAACACGAGACACCAGGAAACAAAATCACCTGTTATTCCTTCTTCCCGTCTTTCCGGACTTAATTTTTCTTATCTAACGTATACAATACTTCCTTGAAGCTAATAGTCTTAATCGAGGTAGCGTCCATCTACTATCATCATAAGCAAAAGTCGCACACAAAAGGAATGCCAAGACTGAGAGGACGTTCATATGTGTTCGGATACAAACGTCAATATTGACCTTCACAAGCCGTGGATAGCTCCGGCATCAATATGGACCGGACGAATCAGACGCATGAAGAAGAACTAGGGTCTACCTCAAGGACTAGATTTGCTATCCCTACAAGATCGACTGCTATCGCTCAACAGCCACCTCTCGCGACGGCAGCAGATCAAATCAGCCCATCGAGCCGAACTTCTGTGAAAGAGCTTCCTGATAACACTGTTCTTGCTGGAAATCTTCGCATACACTCGAATCATCCTCAAAGTGGAACTAAAAGCTTCGTATGGCGAATATCTGGTACATTTCACACCGCTTGATCTAGATAGCCTGCTCACATGCTCATCTTCAATTTTAGGTCAAAATGGGGGTTCCAAGGCCCCTATTGATCTTATCACTTCGTCTTTCAATGGAGAGAGGCCGGGATCGAGGAGGACCATTCTCGAAACACTTGATTTCCCACAAACCGGTGCACACCAAATCACGATAAAAAAGGAACACGCTGAAGCCTGTCTTTGGTTCCTAGAAACACCCCAGTATATTGATTGGGCTGATAACCATAAGCTTAGTAACCACTATGGTGTGCTATGGATCAAAGGGAAGCCCGGTTCGGGGAAGTCGACGTTGATGAAATTCATGCTATCGCATGCCCGTCGCTTTATGAAAGAAACAACTATCATCTCCTTCTTTTTCAATCTCGGAGGCTATGAACTGCAGAAGTCAGCAACTGGACTATATCGATCGTTGTTGTTACAGCTTCTTCAGGAAAGACCAGATCTTCAACCCATACTGGACACCGTTAGCATCGAGCTTCCTTGGAGCATTGAAACCCTTCAGACCCTTCTTGGGGAAGTCATCAAGAACTTTGGCACAGGATCACTCGTCTGCTTCATTGATGCGCTTGATGAATGCGAAGAATCGCAGATTGAGAGGATACTAAGATTTTTCGGGGGAATTTGCCAACGAGCCACCTCTTCCGAAACCACACTACGTCTCTGTTTAGCCAGTGGACATACAACCGAGTTGAAGATTCCAGGTTTAGAATTTATCCTTGAGACTTACGGCAACAGCATCGTGAACTACCTAGAACGGAACCTAAAAGTTGGGCAAGGCGACGTCGCAGAGAGCATACATTTCGAAGTCCAGAAGAGGGCATCGGGCAATTTCAAGTGGGCCAAGCTCGCAGTGGGCTGGCTTAACAAAGAATATGCGAAGGGTTGCGACTTGGACAGTCTCCTTCTCACACTTTGCGACTTCCCGACCGATCATGGCAGATTATATAAAGTAATAAGTGCGTATAGCGGGAAGCAGCACGAGTCAATGTTGCCGACTAAAGATCAAACTCCGGCCTCGAAAAGCTTTTCTGAGCTCCTTAGGATGGAACTAGGCGTGGAGGGTCCTAGACGGGCTCGAAGTAGCAAGCCAAAAGTCAAGACTGGCTGTAATAATTGCAAGTGAGTGATGCGAGTTCTACGTGTTCTGGATGGCCTGCCTTGGTTGAATTCACTGCTGACACCCTGAATCGGATTCTAGGCAGAGACGAATTAAATGCGATGAAAAAAGACCAGAGTGTACCCAGTGTCTTCGTAGCAGAAAACAATGCACTGGATACCCCCTACTACCACGCCCAAGCGCCAGTGAGAAGCGCATTCACGAAAGCTACCTCGTCGCACCCCCGCCGTTGCCGTTCGCGTCCAGCACGCTCCTAGCCTCTTCGCACATAGCTCACACAGCTGCTACTATCGTACCTAGCCCTTATACCTTTCAAAGATCTACGAATCGACAAACCGAGCATGATCCTTCTCCCTCGGATTCCGGATATGCGACCGTAACACACAGCAGCCAGGCTCAAATCAACAAGTCTAAGCATGATAATGGAAGTGACGATGATGACATGCAAACAGTGTACACTGAACTATCAGGTCATTATGATGTGCGAACAGAAAGCTACGTCGACACGTTCGCAGACGACCTCTTCACAAAGACCGGTGGGAAGCAACTTAGCGCCGAGATGATTCAGAAATTATCAGACTCTCTGCCCACACTCCTGAAGGCTTTGGCACTCACTATTGGTTACCAAAACCAAACTCAAGCGCAACGGGATCTAATGGTTTTTATTCATAAACAAAGAGAGTAGGTCGAGTTTCTCCAAAGTCAGGCTAAACAGTATCAAGCGGCGCATATGACTGTAACAGCCCGTCATTTCCACATTAATATATATGGCTACCGGACACACCTGATAATATTAGCGATAGAACAAAGAACTAATCCATCGGGTCTAGGGCGATTACAAGGTCCTTCAAAGGCCATTATCACCATGTCAACGATTTGGACGGTGAAACCAATACTAAACGAGAACCAAAGCCCACAGAGATAATGGAACGTTGGCTAGCATCCAGGGACGAGTCGAGGTTCGAAGAATTCAACACCGAAGCTCCAGAGGTTGTGCTTGAGAGACTGTCCCAAGAAGAATGCCCAGATGCGGCCCAGATACCGGAATTAGAAGAGTATAGAAAGATCGTTGTCGAGGATCCTATTTATATGTGGATGCTGGCACGACTACGCCGGAATCTTATCCTATCTACAGGTGAATATGACATTCTAGATCATATTATGGGCGCTATTCAATTGAAATTCCCCCACACGAAAAACGTTAGTCGAAAGAAATGTCCCGAGGAAGTTCAGGTCACCTTCACCGTCAATTGGGATATAATTGGGTTTCTCTACCAGCAGGATTATAGCATCCCTCATTCCGAGGCTATCGCAAACTCCGTTACGCTGACAGGATCCGGTACATATGCTCAGGCTCTCACCTGTCGACAGTATATGGCGCAGATGTGGCCATTGACGGGATTGCAGACGCTTAAACTCATCCAAGAAACTCTGAAGACCACCGAACACAAAAAGACATTATTCTGTAAGTTTAATTCCTGAAAATAAATAGTACTGTCGCTATATCTTTGGTACTGACATATTACAGTTAATATCCCTTGTCGTTTGACTTTAGAGGCATCGATTTTTGGTGGCTCGATTGCCTGCGGCGCTATGGCCAACGTCAACAACCCCTCTGTCGTTGTAACGGCAAGAGGACTTCCATACTTCATAGCCGAGATAGGAGAACAGCTGGCATGGATGGGCTCCGCGTTGCGACCCTCGTTGTCTCACGCCGTAACAATCTGCAAACCGTACCTGGACAGCAACATCGCCACTCAAGATTACATGGGATCTTCCTTGAGATTGAATCTAAGATACCACATTGAAACGTTGCATTCTAGTGCGCAGAATCTAAATGGAAGGTGTTGGAGCTATCTATTCTCCAGCCCTGTCATCGCCGGGGGATTCCCCATCCTACACAGGCAGGAACCAGACACTGGTTTAGAGATGCCACTAGAACTAATGGTTGCTTTAACCGGCACTAAATACCTCAACGCCTTCAACTCTAAAACATTTATTAAAGGTTTTAACACCATGCTCGTGCCAGCGAAGCAATCGGAAGAATTGATAGTCTGGCACCTTCTCCGCAGTCGGGACCCGTCCAAACGTATTTCGTACCTCTTGTCCAACTTTGAGCCTGCAGCTATCACCAAGACAGGTCTCGAAAAATCTCGTCATGTATTAGGGTGGTGCGCTGATGCGACCTCTATCGTCGGTATGTTTGTGCATCGCATCAAGAGAGAAACCGTATCGCTGACAATATTTTCTTGATTAGGAACCACTCTTGCTTCATACGATATAGGAAGATCTCGTCTACCTAAGGCACATTCTCACCACATGTTAGAGAAAGTTGAAATAACTGCAGGTCAATTCGTTACTGGAACAGCGGCTTTCACCCTAGGAAATAGAGAGAAACCTGTGCATATTTCCAGATTCGGCTATCTTACGAAGCTGCAATGGATATCCTCCAAGTACATGGTTCTCTGGGACGAGGCCGACAAAAGGGGGTGGTTAGTGAACGGAGCTAGTGCCCTTCTACATGTTCTGCGGGCATCCCTGGAGCATAGCAAGCGCAAGTTCCAGTCAGCATGGCTTCTTGATCCAAATGCCCTGAAAGACCCAGACGATCTATCGCGACCCGATGCATCGCTTCAAGTCCTAATCGACGAGAATAATCGCAACTTGACATTATACATGGACAAGACCGAGGTCTACGAGGAAAACATAAGGGAAAGCACCACAACAAACAACATTTCAAGAAGACAAACCCGGCACTACCGCCTAGAGGACAGGATCGAGCACATCTACAACATCCTAGAGAAACTCGTCGACCACCAAACGGACGCGGAACGGCGCAGCGGTCTACAAATCCACAT